TTTATAGAGTTCTATACAACATAGATATAATGGATGGAAACAAGACAGCCTAGACTCAAGGTATGAGCATTAAAAATTCATTGTCATCACTTTAACAGCACATCACACTGGGACTACTGGGTGCAGTAAACAGCAGAAGTCACTAATAAACAAACAAGCAGTATTGCCAGCTCCAAAACCCATGCATACATTAAAGCCTCCAATATTGTAAGTATTAAAGTAATGAGAATTTAAGAAAATGCACTGGTCTGTGTGCTGTTTCTTGAAATCTAAGTAGAGAACTGGTCACCCCCCAGTGAACATCATGTTACTGGCATTTAAACATTCAGTTGTACAGGCAGAGAACTCCATGGCATGCACTCAAAAATCTCAAAATGGGCCCAGTCTGGTCTTTCTCAACACCAGCACTGACTTTTAAGTAATTTTATTTTAAAAAATCCATTTTCACACTTCTAATTTGCCTGTTGTTCAGCAAGTCTTAAGAATGCACCCAAGATGTTTTTTTCCAGGGTTTTTTTTCACAGCTGTGACAACCACAGGGGTATACTACCCCTGAAGCAGAGCTCTACAGTCACTCAGAGTTGAAGCATTCAGAAAAACAGCAATTATTGCAAAGACACTAAAGGTGGCAATATTGAAAATTTCCAAAATATACATTCAAACATAGAAGCTGAATTTGACGCTTGCTTAAGATGAAGCAGAAGTGTAATTTCTTAGACTGAAACTATGTCACACACCATCTTGTACAACACAGGCCATCAGATTTAACCTAGCTACCATTATAGTGAGCCCAGAATTTTGTGCTGAGCGAAGTACAACTCTAACAACTTTATGGTATTGACTAGAATTCTTCAGGGAAAACAGAAATCTTTGTTTCCTTGAAGACTTTGCTCTGATAGCACTACACTTCTAACTAAAAGTTCTTGGTATGGCTGCTGAAGAATTCAGAGAGCTCTTCATATAACCCAGTTTGCTAAAGCTGAAAGGTATTTTTATGTACTGGTAACAATTCACCCTGTGTTCAACACTTTGAGAAGTGAAGCAGGCAGAACTGTCTTAAGACTTTCAGAATAAGCAGTAGAGAAGATGCCTTTATTAGTTTTTGGTAGGGTTTGTGAACACCCTCTTCCTCTTGGCTCTAACTTACTCCCTTCATCCCATGGCCTTTAGACATTTACTGTTCCATTTTCCTGAACTTTCTTAGTTTTCTGCTCCATTCCACCCATTTTAGCTTAAATAGCCTCCTATCTTGGAATTTTTCCCCTCTTCTGCCTCCCATTCCTCACACTTTAAATGTTCTTAGTGACACAAATGGAACAACTACCAGGACTTCCTTCCTGTTTGTTACTTTACATCATCCACATTCAATCTATTCCTCAGATTCACCCTGTATGCCTACAGCCCATCATAAACCCTGAGAATAGGTTGTCTCCAGACCTACAGCAAGGTAAAAAAATACCAGGATTCATTACCATTAGGGACAAACTCTGGTTTGCTTGAAAAAGACTCTAGAAAGCGATGACCACTTTAACTAAAAGCTGCTTGTATCTAAATTCTACAGAAAATATCCCCCAAAAAACAATAAAAACAAAACAAACAAAGAACAGTGCCCATCAAGGAGAAATTTATATGTGTGCTCAGATATTGGGAAACAGAAAACACAAAAATAAACAATTCAGAAAAAAATATTCTAAACCCCACAAAATTTCTACCAAAGAGGCTAGCATACCTGAATGCAAAACCCAAGAAAATATGTGGCAGGCTAGACTGCAGTGCTACTTTGGGAATGTTTCTGGTTTTTACTGTTTGCCAAAAGAAAAATGAAAGACCAACAGTTGCTTCTACAACACTGCTTCATGACCAAATGAGATATGTCTTGTCAATCAGACATTTGAAGTACACACTAATTAGTGTACCACTAGGAGATGTTTATTGTAATCTGAAATTGCTCAAATGAAACATGTAGGGAAAAAAAGGGAAAGAATTTAAACTCATTAAAATCATAAGCTAAACCAATCTAAAGAATGAAAACTCCCTACAGAGTATAGGAAAGAACAAGTGACTTGAGAAACTGCTGTGTCAAGTCTTGGCATATTTGAAAAAGCAAGATAATACTTATGCAGGATTGTAACCACACTGGTAATCTGCTGGGCAAAAAATCTCCTACTGGATGTAAGGAAAGAGATACACTTCAAAAGACAAGTCCAATCTAAAAGGTAGACTATAGTGCTGGGAATGCCACCTGGAACTTGTCTTTTTTTCTTCTTTTTCATTTCTGTTTCTTTTTTTCATCAAGGTAAGTGGTCAGCTGTGGTTCTTCTGCCACTATGTAGTTGACATGTCTAGTATACAGGTTTTTTATTAGATATTATCCCACACAGATTCCACTGTTTTCCCATAAACTGTTATTCTAGAGTCTCAGCCGGATAGTTTTCCATTTAAAAAAAAAATGCCAGCAATTAGAGAAACTATAGAAACTATATTTTAGAATGAATACGAGAAAAACTATCTTCATAAGCACAGAAGTGGACAGATCCTGAAGTAAAACTATGTCAGGCCTCACAGCTGACACATATCAACATGCCTCCACTGACATCACAGGCTTCCAGGTGACTAGCACATCCTAATTATCATCAAAACCAAAAGAGTAACTTAAAAGTAACAGATGACACAAGTTTAAGAAGAGCTTCTAGAATTTAAGTTTTATAGCATATGGCTGTCATGCACTTATTTCATTTGAAACTTCAAAATGTAGAAAATTCATCTTGATACAGGCACAGCCTTTCTGCCTGCTATTTTTTTAAGAATAAGAGTATCCATTAAACCCGCTGAGAGGAAAATTGTAGAAAAACAAGCAAAATAATACCAATCACACAGGAACAAGAATGAAAAGTTGTTTTTCCTTTCAAGTTGGTCCATTAAGAACTCCAATTTTGTCATTAATTAATTCCAGTGCCTGAAAAATACTTGATGCACTTTATGTTTACTTGTTAATGATTCATTTATCTCTATTTATTTAGGTGATGACAGTGCTTCAATCCCGCCCTGCCATCTCCCTCATCAAATACAAGCAGTTGGTAGCATCTCTCTTCCCCACAAAGTGGAATTCTTTTGGTATTTAGGAAGGAGATGAGCAGAACTTGTGACTCCTGACCAGTTTGTGGATCTTCTTTGTGACCCACTAAATGGCACTTAGCTTTTAGACAATTATTTTATTTTCCTCTCAGCTTAGATGAAATCTTTTCACAAGTGATGTGGGTTCAGTAATGCATTAACCACCCCCTCATGCAAGGACAAAACATTTTTCTTTCCTTTTTAAGAACCCTGTGGAAAATTACGTAACTAAACCAAATGATGAATATTTTTTTAAACTTCAAATTGAAGTAAGATTGGGAAATTCTAGCTTCATAATGGCCCAAGAAAACTTAATTCTACCCATTTGTCTACATGCTATGAAATAATCTCTATGTGTGTGATTTTATGCCTTTTTATTTATTTTTTCTTTTCTTTTTTTTTTCTTATCAGAAGGAATGTCCAGTTTGGAGCACCAAATGGGTACAACAGGAATCAAACTCATGCTGTATATAATCCGGAATTTCTTAATTTCTAGGTGCTTGACTTTGCAGGCTCAGTAACACTTTTTCATTTAGATGTCTTTATATAATTATTCAGATGGCTTAAATGTGCTTTTTGCTTACAAAGTCTTTTTTCTGTTTACATATCATACTCTAGCCTAAATAAATGCTAAGACAAAGGCCAAGCTGGCTGGTAGCCCAGAATGTAGTTGTTACCAAATTGACAGGGACCACCTTAAATTCATTGAAATGTCTAAATAGTGTATATGAGTTATAACTAAATTTTAAAAGGCCATCTTTACTGAAAGAAAAACGGACTGACTTTAGGAGAGCATAAACAAGTTGCTGGATGAAATGAGAACTGAATGGATTATGTCTGTTGAGGTACAGTCTGACTTACCACAGCTCTCCATTACTGTAAAACACCAAACACTTAAGGACAGGAAGTATCCTCATGCTACCATGTAAATAACTAATGGGCTTAGTTTATGTTAACAACTAGCTTAGAAACTTCCAATAAATAAAACCCACCAACCTCAATTATGTCTAAGAATGTCTGAACCTTTTCCCCAAGAGTAATGAATTCTGATCATTCTTGAGGTGACTTCTCCTTTCTTTTTAGAGAATCTTACATAGAGTCTGACAAAATGAACAGTAGATGTGAACACAGTGCAATTTAAAGATGGCTTGTGAAGACAAATGAAAACAATGCTTTTTCCAGTCTACTGAAGATCTGAAAGGGGCAAGTTTTCTTCTACTTGTTTCTTTTCTCCTTTTAAAACTTTTGGAGCATCAAAGTCTTGTCTTCCTTTTATACATAACAGTGTTGGAGGACATGAAGACTAGAATGGAATTCCCCCTCAGTTCCTATTTGAAGCAGCAGGGTGAAGAGTGATTCGAGATTTTTTTCTTTTCCTGGCTTTTCACCAGAAGATGTAATTAAACATTTTAAGAACAGCCAAACAAAATGGGAATTTTACACAGTATGATTAAAAATCGCTTTTCCCTCTCAAATGCCAGCTTCTTGTGACAGATGATGGTTAGAGATGATGGCTTCATCTCTGCTTTTCTGATTACCCATAAACTTAGTAAAAATAGGATAGACAAGACCTGATATATACTCAAAATGAAACAAAACCTTTGCAGAAACCTCACATCTGACTTTAAAACTAAAAAAAGGTATTTTGGCTTTCCTAATATCTCTTAAAGAGATGTAAAAGGCAACATAGCTTTGTCTCCTTTTCAGGTCACTCTTCAGATCTAGTCAGGATTTTACTAGGGTAAGACAGGCAAATCCCAGTAACAAGAACATGCCATACGAAAACCACAAAATGTGTAAGTAAATTTAAAATCTACTAATGGTGACATTCTGGCCTTACTATCTACTAATAAAATTACAAGAGTGTGGGGTGAAGGTATTTATACCTGGTCATGGCTGGCTTCAATGGAGCTTCCGATACCTTGGAAAGTCATCTGCACAGGAATCAGTGTCAAACAGGTCATACACTCTTTGCCATTTTGTCTATCACTGTAGTGTACCTATAACAGAATAACATACGTAATCTGCTAAACACCAGGTTCGTACAAGGGAGTCATGCTAAAATACTGTCCCTTTTCAACACGTTTGTAAGAAGAATTCCAAACATTTACATTGAATTCATCTTCAATATAAGACAAGGCGTGAGTAAAATATTCTAGGTAGTCACCATACTGAACTGGGGCCAAATTTCTTTGTATGTCTATTGGGTAGTTTTTGAAGTGCTGTGTTCCTCAGTTTCTGAGACCTCTGAGACTGAATTCAAGCCTAGATGTCATTTTTAACAGTATTTTGTAGCTTAGTTATGTAACATTCATGTAAATCATTATTCCTCCAAACATTTGGCAATAGTAGTTTAAATTTTTCAATTGTAATTCTGTTTAACTAAAAATTCTTTTGACATGGCTAATGCTGCATATTTGGATTTGACTCTGTAATTAATTCAAAATAACAGATAAAATGGAGAAGAATTCACATTCTTCTTGAGGTGTCCAGCCTATCCTTTCCTAAGAGTAATTCATTCCCTACTGATTTCTAGATGTATGTGTTGAACCTGAATCTTGATGAAATACAGAAGATTGTGCTTCTACTTGAATTATTTTCCTTCTCTTCAGGTCCCTTTCAGATAGCACTTAAAATTCCCTAAAGAAAAGATAGATTTTAATATGTTGAGACAAAATGAAATTGAATGTTGCCAGTGTTTCATTATTAGGAACAGGTTGCCACTCATGCTGAACTATTGAAATATTACAGTTCTCTGTGTAGCTCCTGGCTTCTAGACAGGCAGATCAAGCACTTTGTTCTACAGGAGAGGTGGAATTTGGTTTATGGTGGTAATTTACATTGGCTATGTGACCCCTGTCAGAAATGGAAAGAGAGATCAGCTCTGCTGGAGACAGACCTTTTATGTTAGTTTCTATTTACAGCTGTATAGGTCTCAGGCAAAAGTTAAATGATAAAGCCTCATCTTGACATTCAGGCTACAAAATGAAACTTTGTTATTTCTAAAACAACTAGGAATCATATTAGAGTTGTTCCTGTGGAAATGATTTAGTGATGTGTATGATTCTTAATTTTACACCATGCATACTAAATCCCCTGTGCCTAACTCTTCCTTGCCACAGGTGCAAACTGGAAATACTTCAGCTAAAGCAAAACCAGTGCAAAACTGTTTGAGCAAGAGGAAAAAACAAGTTGGCACTGTATTTCAGAATTACTTTACTGACAACACACCAAAACAGTTTTGCTGTGGTCAAAAGCAAGATACAGAATGCAAAATTCTTGTACTGTGCATAGAAATCCTGATTTCACGCAGCCCTTCTTAAAGCTTTCTGGATTATCCCTGTCTCTCTTCCTCTCAACCCCCACAGTATGTGCCTACTAAATTACTTGTGGCTCTCTGCCAGAAAAGCCATACTACTTACTTAGAAACCACAAGAGGCCCCTTCACATATACAATGGTTTAACTTTGATTAATCGAAAGAAGTACGAAGGTATGAAATTTGGCTTGCAAATATAAACTGAAGTTCTCTAAATGTCAGGGACTACTGTTATGACAAGGACTAATTGAGCTTCCACAACTGTGGTATCTGGTTGCAAGCTAGATACTCTGCTGAGTATGTGTTGTGGGAATGAGATGTGGAGAAATGGGGCTGAAAAGCTGAGGAGGATGATTCTGCACTGCAAATACAACATAGCAAAAGGGGCAAAATCCAGTGACCGAGGAAATTGCATGTCTCACAGCACATATGGAGAAATGGAAAAATGGCACTTTCTGAACTGCATGGCATGTTTGTAGGCCTATTTTTAATAACATGAATAAGGTTACACTTCACTACTATCCACTAGAACAAAGCAAGGCTAACAAACTGAAAGAACAGGAGATACTAAAAGGAAAAATTGTGAGTAGCATTACATGACACTTATCTGCAATAGCAAATTTGATCCGTGCCCTCTTTAGAGTCCTGCATTGAAGCTGCAATAAATTCAGAATATTGGTATCTTTCTAGGCTTAACTTTCCCAAGGAAATTTCATTACACACTTCTGGCCATCTTTGAATGTAACAGGGCCACTACTTTGCAATTTCTGAGACAACAGCCCTCTAATTATCTCCTGCCCTGTTGAAATTCTTCAGCTGAACCAAAATAAATACCTTCTATGTTAATTATAATAATAGTGATACAAAAACTTGAAGACTGGCTTTTGAATGGGGGATGGAATAAAACTTTGCCCAATCAAAATCTCTCCAGTCTACAGATCTGTGCAGTCACCAGAGACATCCAGATTTCTTCTACATTTGGCACACGTATGTGCAATTTCCCAGTAATCCTGTTTTGTTATTTATCAGTCCAGATACTACATTCTCAAACTATTTAATTCTTTTCTTCTTCAAATTTGATTTATAGTCAAAAGTTTGAGGGTTTGGGAATTTTTTGGCAGCAAAGAGTGCCAGGTATTTACGCATTTGAGCAGAATGTCCAAAAGAGGCACTCCTAAAGGAAGGGCAGTAGTCAGATAGTTACCAAATAGTCTAAATAGCAGCAGATGCTTCCAGGTTTTTGGCCAGTAGTATGTTGCAAAGATTCAGTTTATATGTACATGCTACTATGACTAAGCATGGGAGGAACCTGAATGTCTACAAAACGGGTTTAAGAGTAACTATCACAGCATCTAAGGCAGGGGAACATGAATGCACAGCAAATACTTGACACAGTGTCTGTAAGGAGGGGTGACTGAGGACTGACCAAGTTTTCCAACAGTGATTATGTGGCCATTATTAAGATTCATGAGGACAGTAATACTTTTTTAAGTTCCTCAGTGCCTTAAGAGTCAAGAGTGCTTAACTAGAGCTCATCTTGGCAATAACTCTGTTAGGCAGGTAAGGACACTTCATGGACAGACATTAAACGACTCATCTAAATTCACCTGGCACTGGCAGGAATGAATGGCAGTGCTGGGACTATAACCCATCATTAAGACCTCTGGCCTAACCACAAGCTCATTTTCCCTTTCCATATATTATGGAGGTAAAAATAAAAGAGTTATGAAAATATTTTCAATCTATATCCAGGCCTAATTTTCAGGCTTTTATTTTCTTGTAATTAAGGGACACTCAGAAATTACGTCCATGCATTTTAAGGATTAAACAGCAATTAAATTTCACTTATTAAAGTTCAGTACGTTTTATTTGGATACCATATTAGCAGAGTTTTTATAGAACAGCCTTAGGATCTGGTTAGGAAATCATGACCAGAATACTGATGTCTGTAGTAAGGGTTGTGCAAGTTTTTGAGTAAAATGCAAGAGTCCAGTTTCAGACTATTTTGAGTGATTTACATGTAATTCTCCTCCAAGGTACATCTACACAGCACAAAGCAGTGTCACAGCAACAAGATCCTGGCAGTAACTCTGACGGAGTCTGCTCATTTACCGGGAAAAGCACACAGCACTGCTAGTTGCTCTCTTGGGTAACTATACACCCAGAGTACCTGAAAAAAAACAATGTCTAAGCAGTTCAGGAATCCCAAACACATCACTCCGTGGTGCTGTGTAGGCAGGGCACGAAACCTCCATGTGTAAAACGCAAAGTGCATCCCAGGCATCAAAATAATAAAATAAATTCCAGAAACCATTTTTTCCATGAGCACATACCATGGATTTACTCATACACATATGCTTTCATGTTCAATATCTCAGGAGGTGCAACTGTATATCCTTTCCACAAATGGCTTCAGTCAGGAACAAGCTGCATGGTATGAGTATGTGTAGAGGGGTACTACTAACTGGGGTATGTATATAGAAGTGCATGCAAGGGGCTGAAACTATTTGAAAACTATGTTGAAATTTGGCCCTTGTTTTTAATATTTTAAATTACTGAAGAGATGCAAATATTTTGATGGACATTTATAGCTTCACATAAAGAAAGATGTAAGATGAATGTTTACAATGTTACAACTGAATGTGGAATAGCATAGACAAAATTCTCAACCTTCTATGTTATTTTATAAAGGAAAAACTAAATCACATTGCACAGAACTGTGTAAGAAGTTACATTGAAGGTTACTTTTATTATAATGCTGCTCCATAAGCAGGAAAGTTTCCATTTCTTTCATATTTACATTAAAATGTCTCTTAAATCTAGCTTTACTATAATGCCCTTCCCTATGTGCAAGTGTTCTGATAGAAACTGTAAAAATATCACTGAATTTGTCTTAAAATAACCTACTTTAACCCACTGGATCAATACACAATTTCAGATAATGGCCATAGTTAGTCTGCATAAATTATTCTGCAAATACAATGTCCCTAACTTCAGGCACAGGGTGGTCTGCTGGTCTTCAGTGGGCACCTCTGCATTCAAACATTCAACCCTTTACATGAACAAGGGTTTTGGTTTACCAACTCACAACTGAGGAAGCTGAGGGACCTGTTATACTACCACACAGAAATTAAGCTTAACTATATGCTGAACTACTGTTAGAAATGAGCTAACTGTGCATTAACAAGTGACTGAGGGGGCACAAAAATAAAGGCTACTGTTTTCACACACTGCTGCTTAGATGTTCACAGCCTGAAATACAACTTTCTGTCTGGCCAAACAGTTTCTTTCTTGAAAATTCATTAACTGAACAAAATAATATGGATTACCAAAAGAAAGAAGTCATCTGTGACATTGGAGTTCACGTTTCCAAACCAAAAACTACTCTGACTCAAAGCATCAGCAGGAGTCTTAGAATGCTAGACAGAAATAAACTAGGTAATAAAATGCCATTATCTTCAGCAATGCACAAATCTTCTGGATTGACATGCCCAGACTATTTTGTTAGAACAAAGGATGGTATTCCTTTAAATCTGCCCCTTAAAGGGAAAGCACCCAATTTAGCTCTGAATTTACAAAAGAATTTCCAAGATTTGACACAGGTTGCTCTGGATTTACAGCAACAAGCAAACCTGAGTGGGCTTCAAAATCAGACATTAAAATAGCACTTTTGACTTGGACAA